AGTCAACTGTTAGTGGTATTATAACAAAGTGGAAGCAACGGGGAACAACAGCAACTCAGCCACGAAGTGGTAGGTCACTTAAAATGACAGAGTGGGGTCAGCGCATGCTGAAGCACTCAGTGCGCAGAAGTTGCCAAGTGTCTGAAGAGTCAATAGCTAAAGACCTCCAAACTTTGTATGGCCTTCAGATTAGCACAACAACAGTGCATAGAGAGCTTCATGGAATGGGTTTCCATGGCTGAGCAGCTGCATCCAAGCCTCACATCACCAAGTGCAATGCAAGGCATCGGATGCACTGGTGTAAAGCACACCACCACTAGACTCTAGAGCAGTGGAGAAGTGTTCTCTTGAGTGAAAAATCACGCTTCTCCGTCTGGCAATCCAATGGACATGTCTGGGTTTGGTGGTTGCCAGAACAGTACTTGCCTGACTGCATTGTGCCATGTGTAAAGTTTGGTGGAGTTGGGATTATGGTGTGGGGTTGTAGTTCAGGGGTTGGGCTAGGCCCCTTAGTTCCAGTGAAGGGAACTCTTAAAGCATCAGCACCTCGAGACATTTTGGACAATTTCATGCACCCAACTTTGTGGAAACAGTTTGGGTATGGCATCTTCCTGTTCCAACATGACTGTGTACCAGTGCACAAAGCAAGGTCCATAAAGACATGGATGAGTGAGTTTGGGGTGGAGGAACTTGACTGGCCTGCCTAGATTCCTGACCTCATACCGATAGAATACCTTTGGTATGAATTAGAATGGAGACTGCGAGCCAGGCCTTCTCGTCCACCATCAGTGACCTCACAAATGCCCTTCTGGAAGAGTGGTCAAACATTCCCATAGATACACTCCTAAACCTTGTGGACAGGCTTCCCAAAAGAGTTTAAGCCATTATAGCTGCAAAGGGTGGGCCAACTCAATACTGAACCCAACAGACTAAGACTGGGATGCTATTAAAGTTCAAGTGAGTGTAAAGGCAGGCATCCTAATACCTTTGGCTATATGGTGTATGTGACATAACTGATTCAGTGAGAACAATGAAAGCAATGTGTTGGAGACTCAATGATAGAATTGTTTCTGTTTATTGGTATTTTGTAGAAAAAATTACATGTCAGGAGTGGCTAGTGCTCCTGATCCATCACAGCTGCTGGTCTCATTCCAGCAGCATCCTGGTTTGGCTATGATGCACTCTCCCTGTCTGTCTGTCTACCTGCAGAGTGATTGATGTGGTCAGTCTCTAGGTGGAGACCAAACCTGATTTAAGCCAGCCCCAAGCATGCAGTCTTATGCTTGTGATATTGCATTTATAAAACGTGCTTTAAGCTCCCTCTCTTTCTGTCCTGCTCTGCTGTTTGGATTCCCTTGTTGAGGACCTCGGATTGGATATTGACTACTCTCTGAACTCTGCCATTTGACTACGGAACTGACCTTGACTATCCTGAATCTAGCCTGCCTTGTACCTGGACTGTTGTCAAAACCACTCTGCCTGCCTGTCAACCGCAAGTACCTGTTTTCTGTGCTCACCTGCCCAAGCGTAGTAGCCAGGCACTATAGCATTGTGTATACCGAGTACTGTTAGGCCGTCTTGCCTAAAGGGGAAAAGGGGCTGCTATAGGTAAAGAACACAGAAGCCCGTTATAATGGCTGACCATCTGCATTAGGGGTAAGCATGACACATATCACTTAGATGACCAAACAAGTCAGCATGCTGCAGCAACAACGTAAAGTAATTAATTCATGACTAGTGCTTGGTTGTTTTATAGCGTAAACAAACATGTTTTATAGCGTAAACAATAACAATGTGGACCAAGCATTTAGGCTTTATTTACACATGAGTAGTGCTCCCTAGTAGCAAATAAGTGGCTTTTACCATTATGTTTTAGCAGTGCCATAGATCAGTTTTTTCCCTGAATGGGGTTCAATCTCGGGAACCATGGCAAAATGTTGGTGTGGCAAATTGCACTGTAAGGGAGGAGCTTAAAACTTGACACAGTAACACATGGCATAGTCATTGTACCCACAAAATATGCTTTTATTACTGTGCCAGAAGTGAGGGTCTAAAGGACATGCACTGTTGTACAACATACAGTAGCATAAAGTGTGCAGGGCACAGGAGTATATAATGTCCTTAGAGTGCAATGGTCAGAAGAATGTCATATGCAATCCAGGGTACAGAGTGTAGTGGTTTTTTAAAGTAGTCTGTTTGAACCATCCATACTGGATTGATTAGTATGCTATGGCAGTCATATAATGTACTAGTTACAGAGCAGTGGTTCTCAACCTTCATGAGAACAGAGCATGGAAATTTTCTTCCAAAATCCTTGATGCCCAAACAGCAAGGGCCCATTTACTTCATAGTGTTGTGTTAATGTGTATTGTGTGCACTCTAAGGCATCCCACTCAAAATACAATAGAAGTGCACTATATTGCCAAAAGTATTGGGATGCCTGCCTTTACACACACATGAACATTATTGGCATCCCAGTCTGTAGGGTTCAATATTGAGTTGGCCCACCCTTTGCAGCTATAACAGCTTCAACTCTTCTGGGAAGGCTGTCCACAAGGTTTAGGAGTGTGTCTATGGGAGTATTTGGCCATTCTTCCAGAAGCACTGATGTCAGACAAGAAGGCCTGGCTTGCAGTCTCCATTCTAAGTCATCCCAAAGGTGTTCTATCTGGTTGAGGTCAGGACAATCAAGTTCCTCCACCCCAGACTCATCCATGTCTTTATGGGCCTTGCTTTGTTGGAACAGAAAGGGGTCATTCACAAAGTTGGGAGCGTGAAATTGTCCAAAATGTCTTGGTATGCTGACACTTTAAGAGTTCCCTTCACTGGAACTAAGGGACCAACCCCACCCCTGAAAAACAACCCCATGTCATAATCCCCCCTTCACCATACCTTACACTTGGCACAGTGCAGTCAAGGCAAGTACCATTCTCCTGGCAACTGCCAAACCCTGACATGTCCATTGGATTGCCAGACAGAGAAGCGTGATTCGTCGCTCAATAAAACATGTCTTCACTTCTCAGAGTCTAGTGGCGGCATGCTTTACACCATTGCATCCAACGTTTTGCATTGCACTTGGTGATGTAAGGCTTGGATGCAGCTGCTCAGTCATGGAAACCCATTACATGAAGTTCTCTGCGCACTGTTGTGCTAATCTGAAGGCCACATGAAGTTTGGAGGTCTTTAGCTATTGACTCTGCACACAGCTGAGTTGCTGTTGTTCCCAATTGCTTCCACTTTGTTATAATACCACTAACAATTGACTGTGGATTATTTAGTAGCAAGGAAATTTCACGGATGGACTTATTGCACAGGGGGCAAACTATCACGGTACCACGCTTGAATTCACTGAGCTCCTGAGAGGGACCCATTCTTTCACAAATGTTTGTAGAAGCAGCCTGCATGCCTAGGCGCTTGATTTTATACACATGTGCTCACGGAGGTGATTGGAATACCTGAATCCAATGATTTGGAGGGCTGGCCCAATACTTTTGGCAATATAGTGTATGTGAATGTAAAATATATATTCATATATGTTTATTGTGTGAGCATAACTTTTTTACCTGCCTAGTGCCTGCTATGTATGTCTGCTAATCTACCTTGCTGTCATGCAATCACAAATACATAGCAAGCATAAGGCAGGTGACGCATCTGTTTTGCCTAGGCAGTGCTAGTGTAAGTCTTCTCCATTCACCCATGCTGCCGCTGACTTTCCCAGTCTGTGTACCACTTCTGTAATCTGTGAGGTTCCTCCACTCCTACAGGTGGAGAGGAGACACTGGTGTCTTGATAGTCCAAAATCCACCTTCTGAGACACCATGACCAGGCAACTCCAGCACAGGTGCACTGCTCACTTCTTAAATCTTTTGCGACCCTCTTCCAACTCTCACCTCTGGATCCTCTGCCACCTTCTTCCAACACTGATCATTTCTGCATCCCTGTAATCCTCTTCTAATGCAACCTACCTCAAGTGTAACTTTAGGTAGGACTCCTTCTCCTGCCAGTGGAGGTACCAGTGGCTGTGAGTGGATCCAGGGAAAGGTGAGTATATTATCTAATCCCCCCCCCCATTAAAGGTTATTTTAAAACTTTTATCTGCCATTTCAGCAAGGGTCAGCAGGTCAGACTTATACAGTGGACCTTGCTTTTACATATGTTTACTAATTAAATTTTATCGCACATCATAATTCCTATAAGACACCAAATCCCACCAAAATAAGCATTTAGAAGTATGATGTTATTTGCCACGTGGACTGCACCATATCCTAAAGCAAAATTGCTTTAGGTGTAAGGGGTTACAACAGTTCTTAAAACTGTATTAAACCCAAAATAAAAAATTTAATATATTGCAGCTTACCAATGATTAGATGTTGTGACTGCATTAGTTTTATTTAAGCTTTTTCCCTCTGTTTTCACCTGCTAATCTGGCCAGTACCACACTTTCTGTATTAGAGCACCCCCAGTCTGGATGAAGGAGCAGCAGCAGTGTTAAATGTACTAGTAGATTTAGATACCATGCTACAAAATGAATTGATATAAAAAACGCATTAATATGCAGCACTGTGCATTCATATACAATAATCCAATACACAAGTGCAAAAAATGTTAATAAAAAACTAGTGTCACAATGACAAACTATGCAAAGTGTTCACAATGTTCACAAGTCCTTGAAAACCAAATTCTCAGTGATACTATATCTGAAAACATTCTTCAGTAGTGCCACACTGGTGCTTTTGTGTTCCACCACTTCTCAACAGACAGACACTCACCAGAATTACATGCCTCTCTTATGACATATCAACATAAAATGCTTAAATCAATCTCTGCTCAGTCCTGCAGATTCCCCCCTCATGGAAATGTGTGCTCTCCTTCTCTTTTCTCCTCACATGTTTCACAGATATATAGAAAAATAAAATAGACCTAACAGTTTGATACCATAAAACAAGTACCGTATTTTTCCCTCCATAAGACGCACCTGACCATAAGACGCACCTAGGTTTTAGAGGCGAAAAACAAGAAAAAAAATATTCTGAACCAATGGACTGCAGACATAGTACAGGAAATGACCAGAGACTGCGGACACAGTACAGGAGATGACCAGAGACTGCGGACACGGTACAGGAGATGACCAGAGACTGCGGACACAGTACAGGAGATGACCAGAGACTGCGGACATACTACAGGAGATGACCAGAGACTGCGGACATAGTACAGGAGATGACCAGAGACTGCAGACATACTACAGGAGATGACCAGAGACTGCGGACATAGTACAGGAGATGACCAGAGACTGCAGACATAGTACAGGAGATGACTAGAGACTGCGGACACAGTACAGGAGATGACCAGAAACTGCGGACACAGTACAGGAGATGACCAGAGACTGCGGACACAGTACAGGGATGGTCAGAGACTGCAGACAAACTAGAGGAGACAGTCAGAGACTGCAGACACAGTACAGGAGATGACCAGAGACTACGGACATACTACAGGAGATGACCAGAGACTGCGGACACAGTACAGGAGATGACCAGAGACTGCGGACACAGTACAGGAGATGACCAGAGACTGCGGACACAGTACAGGAGATGACCAGAGACTGCGGACACAGTACAGGAGATGACCAGAGACTGCGGACACAGTACAGGAGATGATCAGAGACTGCGGACACAGTACAGGAGATGACCAGAGACTGTGGACACAGTACAGGGAAAATACCAGGGACACAGTACAGATGACCATAGACTGCAGACAGTGCAGGGAATAACCAGAGACTGCAGACAGTGCAGGGGATGACCAGAGACTGCAGACAGTGCAGGGGATGACCAGAGACTGCAGACAGTGCAGGGGATGACCAGAGACTGCAGACAGTGCAGGGGATGACCAAGAGACTGCTGACCTTTGGGGAGGGAGGGGGAGCGGGTACCTGAATTTGACAGGTACCCGCTCCCACTTCCCCGTGGCGTTGTCTTTCCCTCTTCTTCCCGCGCCGGCTTCTGTGACAGCCGGGTGCCCACTGCGCATGTGCGAGAAGCGCTGCGCTTTGTGAATGGCCCGGCGCCTTCTGGGACCTGTCATGTGTCCCAGAAAACACTGGACCATTCACAAAGCGCAGCGCATGCGCAGTGGGCACTCGGCTGTCACAGAAGCCAGCGCGGGAAGACTGTGCAGCGCTGGAGCGAGGAACAGGTAAAGGCCCTGCAGGAGAGAACAGCTGAGCGGCCGGCCCGGTATTCTGACATGGTGGCGGCAGAAATACCGGACCCGGCCGCTTTATATTCGCTCCATAAGACGCACTGACGTTTTCCCCCCTTTTTTGGGGGGAAAAAGTGCGTCTTATGGAGCGAAAAATACGGTATCTTTATCCATTAAATAACTACTCACAAGGTTGACAAATAAAAAGCATCAAAGCTCACTGTATTCATGTATCTCGGCATGCCCGATGCATTTCGTCATAACAGACTTTGTCAAGGGGGTGGCTGAGTTGCATGGACTCACATTTATCATGTCTGAGCAAAGATAATTAATCCTGTCCTCACTAGATCTAAAAAACAACAAATGTAAACACTCTCTCTGCTCATGGAGGACATCTCAACAGGACTAACTGAATTTATAACCACCTTAGAAGGTGCCTCTATATAACTTCAGCTCTCTCTGGCAAGTTAGTGGAAACATTGCAATTAACATCATACATGGCAGATCTAAATTGGTGATCGATTCACCTACATGATTTAAATTTAACAGGCTACATTTAATGTCAAAATATTCCTGTTGGATGACTCCCATTATAAATAAAATGAGAATAACACTAAATCATGACAAAATAGAAGCAAATTACAACTGAAAAGACATTCAAAACAATATATAAGATATAGTATAAAATCAAATATTCTCTAAAATATCATGCCAAAGGTAAAAAAGCCTAGAATAATCCACAAGATATCATCATAAACATAAATATCATCAATAATCACTAATAAAACAATTGATATCCATCTCAATGTTCAGAAAATTAAATAGAGAATTTAAAGCATAAATCTATCCATTACTCTATTGGAACCTCTCCAATGTGGAAAAACTCTGTCAATACCCCAGAACTGTAGTAATGATGAATATCAATTGTGTGCTTCTCTAAAATGTAATGACACACCATGTTGTCTATACCCATTTTCAATGTTTTGCATGTGCTCAGCCACATGTTTTCTCAGCCCACACAGACATTGGAGGGCATATACAACATGTGTTGTGTTACAAGAGATAAAATCCCTAATCATGTGTTGTCTTTTAGTGCTGTGTGAGATAAAATGATCCATTCTCCTTTTGTTGACAGTGTCAGTTCTACTGCCTGTGCACTTACCATATGAAAAAAAGCCACTGTAGTTCAGAAAAGTTACCTGCTTTTTTAGGAGAGTCCAAGACCTTCTTAATCACTATATCCCCAAAATTTGGGGCTATTCTATATATAAATCTCAGACTATTTGGTTGTAGTGGCTCCAACACCCTTTCTATCTGAAGGATGGACCAATATTTCTGAAAAATATTCTTCACTTCTCTTTGCTGGGCATGAAAGCCTGAAATAAAGACTATAGATTTAGTTACACAAACAAATTCAAGCCAAACTAAAGCTAGAACTTTATAGGCAGTTATAGCAAAACTTCTGTTCCTTTTGGGATAAAGGTTTTACATAAATAAAGGCTTATTGTAAGTATCCTTGCCTGCTACATCTACAAGACAGCTCGTTCTGCTGAAAAACAACAAACGTAACGCCTGGATCCCCGGATGAAAATAAAGTAAATAAAGCCTATAAAAAATAATATTAATGCAACCATCACATGTAAGACTTGTTAAGCTGAAATATAATAAATGTTTACTTTGGAGTTTAATATCAATTTAAGTAGGGAAAATTACATTTACAGTACCTTTATGTGTAATAAACCTCAATTCAAAGTCTGTATTTGCCCTGTCTAGGCCTTTGCTGTAAATGGAGCCTCAATTTCTGCTAAAGTCAGGGTTAATCCTTGCCCCCTTTTGATACCAAGCTCCACTGAGTCATTTATCTGTTACAAAGCTGAGCCTCTTCAGCCTACTTGAGTTCCAGAATTTCACAATCAAAGAATGAGGACATGTTTCTTATTAGAAGAAGGTATGGTCTAGGCCTAAGATCCAAGGATTTTCCCCAGAAGCACAGGGAACAGTGTAAAGACTAACACGAGAACCTGTAAGCATGACAATGTACTGGTGTTACCTTGATACATGCAATACTGTGCAAAAGCTTTAGGCAGGTTTGAAGAAATGCTGTAAAGTAAGAATGCTTTAAGAAATATATATTTTAATTGTATTTTGTAAATTGATAAAAATAAACAAAGTGAGCAAACAGAAGAAAAATCTAAATCAAATCAATATTTGGTGTGACTACCCTTTGACTTCAAACCAATTCTTACACTTACACACACTTTGTATACAAACAAATGGCAACCACTCCAACCTATAACTAGCCTTTGCAGCAAGGAGCACATGGATGGGCAATGCAAAACAAAAGTTCCCATCTCACTTACCAGCCAGCCCGCAACTGTAGTCCACTGGGGTGTCTTGCCGTGGCCACTGCAGCTTACACATATATTTGCAAATGTGTGCGACTCAACCCCTCATTTTTAATGTGAACTGTTAGGCAGGGTCAATTCTGTTTTGTTGCAGGATGGCTGGTAAGAGAGTTGGAAATTTTTGTTTGTTTTTGATGCACACTTTGTACACTTGCACAAAGTCAGGGATTTTGTAGGATTAGAGTCAGGTGTATGATTAATCAGCTATACCAAGCAGGTGCTAATGATCATCAATTTCATATGTAGGTTGAAACAGTCATTAACAGTTGTGTAGGAGGTGAGGAACAGGCAAACTACTAAGGTGAGGTTGTGGAAGACAGTTTCATGTCACAGGCCATACAGAAGGCAAGACGGAGCACAGCAACAAGGCACAAGGTAGTTATACTGCATCAGCAAGGTCTCTCTCAAGCAAAGATTTCAAAACAGAGTGGGGTTTCAATATGTGTTTTTCAAGCTCTTTCGAAGAAGCACCATGAAATGGGCAATGTTCAGGGCTAATAGTGGTCAGCCAAGGAAATTTAATGCAGCAGATGAAAGACACTTCGGGGTTGATTTACCAAAAATAGAGAGTGCAATATCTGGTGCAGCTCTGTATAGAAATCAGCTTCCAATTTTTTTGTCAAAGCTTAATTGAACAAGCTGAAGTTAGAAGATGATTGGCTGCCATGCACAGCTGCACCAGATTTTGCGCTCTCCAGTTTTAGTGAATACCACCATGTTTGTTTCCCTTCTGCAACAGAAGATTTCCACCATTGCCATCAGCACAGAACTGACAGGTCAAAAATTCCAAAAAGCCACACCTCCTCCGATGTGAAAACAAGGCTCAGTGACTTAACTATGCACAAAAACATTGGAGCTGGGGTGCAAAAAAAGAGGGGTACAGGTGCTCTGGTCTGATTAGTCAAAGTGTGAATATTTGGCTCATGGTTGGATCTAGCGGGGTGCTGGGGTGTGTTACTCCCCCCAGATTACATTTGTGCCCCCCAAAGCCAAACACAACCCCTAAGTGTAGCCAAATGTCTCTTAAAACTACAGTAATTTTGGATGAGCAGTGGGTCAACCAATAGCTCTGCTCATTTGAGTAGGAAGAGAAACTTCTGATAAGCTGCTCTGCCTCCCACCACCTCTTTAGGCAATCAGCACAGTACTGTAGCACACCTCTTCTCCAGCCCGCCACATTTGATTCAGAAGAGAAGATGCTGGCAGCCAGAGCAAGGCTAGATAGGGGTAGGAGGGAGAGGATGTAAAATACATGAAGTACGGGCTCCACCCTAGAAGGTATGATAACATTCACAGAAAATGAATGAGCCCTCTGTAATTTGATTGCTTCCTTTTAAGTTGCCTTTGCAGGATTTAGGCTGCTCAGGCTGGCAGCTTCACAGCTTTGTTAACCATTTACTGCCCCCCTGTCATGGTCTCCCCCTTGCCTGCTCTTCCTTCCTCCCCCCTCCCCTCAGTTCACAGGTGGCAGCGGCTCCCCCTCGCTCCCCTTTGATCCTTCCCCCTCCCTTCCCCTTGCAGATTCCTAATGTCCTGCACAAGCCTACATCAAAGGCTGTGCAAGACAGAAGGAAACGCCCCCTGTGGTGCGATTAGCACTTTTCCTCTGCAAAGCCAGTGAGGAGTCCTGACATCTCGCTGGGCTCGCATGGCACAGCCCGCCAGGGTGTCTCTACATGGCCCCCCTGCAGGCGCAGCGCGGGCACGAGCCTTCCCGCGCTCTGCACCTGAGCACGGCCATAGTGAGGGGGGTGTGCCTCATTGCCCCGGAAACCCGACACTGGGCCGGCCGTTGCCGGGGCAACCAGGAAGCGTCCTGCTCTGGCATAAGAAGACGGAGCAGGACCCAGCCCACCTTTTGGTCCCTTGCTCTTGAGGGAAGCGCTGTGTGGGGTCTGAGCTGAGGCTAGACCCCACAGCCAGGACCCGACCCGGCCAGGACCCAGCTTCCCTGTTGGTCCCTTGCTCTGGATAGAAGCGCTGTGTGAGGTCTGAGCTGAGGCCAGACCCAACAGCCAAGACTCCGCTGAGTCCCAGTGAGCCTGCCTGTCAGGAATGGACTTGCCAGTAATGGTGGGACTCACCTGCCTT